TCAATAGTGTACCCAGGGGCGGCGGCGGGTACTGTAGGCTAGGGAAAGCTAAGCCTTCCCAAATATTTTTGTCACTACATCCTGGTAAAGAAAAATATAATGTTTGTGTCTTTGACATTAGCGCTGCTATGCAGTCACCTGTGCCCTGTACTACGAAGCCAGTTCAACAGACCCTGGATATGTTTGAGTTATCTTAACTAACCCTAACAAACGAGATCTCGCTAAGCGGTCCTACGACGCTGGTTATCAACTCGGTAAATCAAGCCAGGGTTTCTCTCTCCAGCTGAGAAGTGCGTTCACGTGAACGGGGCGGGGTTAGCAACATTCGACCAATCACAAACAGGGAGCTCCAACAAGGCGTTTAGGACTGAGAGTGAATACACATACTATACAGAGATGCTGTATGAGAAACAATGCGATTTTGGAACACAATATAAATCTATTTTAGTAGACCTCAACAATGGCATTATGATCAGTAGAAATGGCCATGACATGGGACCTTTAACACAATTACTAAGAAATAAAGCTATGGGAGTTTACGATGTGTCTTTCTCTCCCCCCATCCTCAGATACTGGATAAGTTGTTGGACAGGGAGAGTCAGACCCATAAGCCCCAGACTCTGAGCTCATTCTACTCCAGCAAGCCAGCAGCTGGCAGCCAGCGCAGCCCTTCCAAACACTCTGCTGCCAGCCATAGTGGGGTGAGCGGAGCAGCAGGGGGCATCTCCAAACATGGACCCTCCTCTTCCTCTGCTGCCACTGTGGCAGCCTCCTGCTCTGCTGCCACGGGATCTGGGGAAGTGGGGCAGCAGGCCGATCTGAACCCAGTGCAGAACAACACAGCCGGAGAGAGCACTGCTGAGCCCCGGGAGCATGGTGAGAACCCCTCCTCTCATAGAACACTGTGGAGGCTCTAAAACTGTCAAATCAAATGCATATTCCCCTTTGACTCTGATTTCAATGTTGGTTTAGCAGTGGTGATGACGCTGTGGTAACATCGTACTCTTTCCTCACCCTGTCAGATGGGCCTGCTTCATCAGCTGAGCACCAGAATGAGACGGCACCTATTAAGGCGGAGGCCACGGTGCCCAGCCGGCTGGCTCTGGGGGCCCGCTGCGGATACAGCCAGCGCTGCTGGGGCTCGCCTGTGCGCCAGAAGAAGAAACACACGGGTAGTGTGTGTGTGTGTGTGTGTGTGTGTGTGTGTGTGTGTGTGTGTGTGTGTGTGTGTGTGTGTGTGTGTGTGTGTGTGTGTGTGTGTTGTCAGAGCTGTTGAATTGCATTACATGATACAGGTATAACTTAATGGGTGCGTCTAAATAACATGGTGTCCCAAGTGATAGTTAGTTCTAGTCGTATTTGTGCTCTTTGTGAAATGGCTCCAGTAACAGAGCTGTTTGTTGGACAGGCATGGCGAGTATCGACAGCAGCGCTCCAGAGACCACCTCAGACAGCTCCCCCACCCTCAGCCGCCGGCCACTCCGGGGCGGCTGGGCAGCAACATCTTGGGGGCGGGGCCAGGACAGTGACAGCATCAGCAGCTCATCATCTGATTCACTGGGCTCCTCCTCCTCCAGCGGCTCTCGGAGGGCAGGGGGCGGGGCCAGGGCCAAGAGCACGGACACCAGCAGGTAAACACACTTCTTTCTCATGAACTCACTCACACAATAGCTGAGTTACCTGAAGTCCCATCAACAGATTAAAGTCTACTGTGACTGACAGCAGCAGGTGTTTATTACGGAGGCAAAAGTTTGTACTTTACACCAGGGGTCAACAACAGTCCGCTGTAGACAACTTTTCTCCTCATTTGGCCATTTGATGTCCACACTACAACAATAGACTGATGACTTGTATCAGGCCATATCCTGTTTTAAATCCTATTCCCCACAGTAATTGTGTATACATTCTTTCATTGAATTTGTGATACAGAGCGATGGTGGGCTATGAACCTACTTATAGAACTGGAGTCACATCCAGGTAACTTCTATTTCTCCTTGTCTCATTACTTCTTTCATTCACTGTGATAGAGAGCCGGCCTCGCAGGCTTGTGGTGAAAATGTATTTGCTAGATATGTGCTAATGAAACAGAAAATATACTGAGCCTTCTTTAACTTCCATAATGTTTTCTTCACTCTCAACTATCTCCTTCAGCATCTGAAACTGTCTGAGCTGAGCAGTCACAGCTCTTGTGGTGTCCAGGTGGTGCATCTATAGATGCCGTAGCCCCTATGTGTAATTACATTTCGGCCACACAAAACTCTGCAGTCATAACGTAACCCTTAAAGTACAACTCTAAGGCTGCAGCCACACGAGGACAATAACGGAAACACACTGAAATCGTTATCAAAAAAGTATTCCATCCACACGCAATAGGCACCAGAAACGTGTCCGTCCACACGAGACAGCTCGAACCACTGGAGACGCTGTAGTACATATGCCGGGCCTGTAGGTGGCGCTGTACTTCTGCCATAAAATACACCAAAAGCAGCGAAGACGACTTCTCGCGCATGCATGGTTGCCACAGTTGCCCTTCTGTTAATTCTCCACGCTGGATTTAGCAGCAGAGGTGGGATTTCGCCGGTCAACATGTCCGTTAAAGTTTAAATCTTCCGGACAAAATGAGAAAAGTGCCGGTCAAAGGTCTTCTTTGTTATTTATTGAGCTTTAAAACAAATGAATAATGACTCTATATAATAATATAAGAATAATACACGGAGGACGGAGCCTCTCTTTTCCTCCCCCTCTCCTGACAGCCCATCAGTATCCGTGGTCTCATGCAGCTGGCTGATCCAGTAATGAGTGACCCGACAGTCAAAATAAACATATTCATAACTAGTTTGGGTAGTTTGAGAGGTCATTAAAGTGTGATGATCTAACTTGAAGTGTGTGTTTTGCTCCGCTCATCGCTCCATCACAGCGGGCGGAGCTGCATGTTGTCATGCCGAGCTTCGTGTCTCCTCTCCCGTCCGATTAGACGTCACTCGCGTTTGTGTCCATATCAATCCAATCTAGCTGGAAGCTCCTGCCGGGGGCACTGTCCTGCGAGATACCGGGACCTGGCTCGAAACACTGGGGATATTGCGTCATCAGGAAATTATCATTATAGGGCGTAGACACGGAGCCGTTTGGCACCCCAGAGTGTTTCGTCCGCAGATCTACCCACCTTGGGACCCGTTATTGTTATCTGCATTTCCCTTGTCGGCCTCGTGTGGCCGAAACACCGTCTATTCTGATAGAGAACTGTAGCGGCATTACGACCGTTATCGTCCTCGTGTGGCTGCAGCTTAAAACATCCACCACAATAAATTTGGAAGGGTCATCTGCTTAAAGTTCGTTGGCTTTCAGACTAAAGACCGACAAACGGATGATCTGAGTAATCTGTTGCAGGAATCCTTTAAATTGAGAGCTAATGCTATCAGAAAGAGAAATGACATGGTTCACAGGCTTTAGCCACACATCAAGTGTGTTGAGGCACACCTCAGATATCAAGGGCAGAGATCAGTTACAATGAAAAGCCTTTACGGACGACATACATAAAATATACACATATTATCCGAAGAGTGTGATAATGAGCAATGAACTGGTCTAGGACCCTCGGTTCATGTACTGTTAGGAAAATCTGCCAAGTGTATAATAGTTTTTACACCGTTTCATATGTTGTCTGCTGCGAATTGCTTTTAGTTTGTTGTTCAACGTTTATTCCCAGTTATTCCATACTTCAAAGCAGAGCAAAAATAGAAAAAAATGCGATCACATAGAACAAAGAGCTCGAGTCCGCAATGCGAGCTGAGATGACAGTGGATGCGTTGAGAGCGAGATTGGGAGATGGGAGAGTAGGACAGGCTTGCCCGCTTTGGGCGGTTTCCTTGAAAACAATCCAAAAGATTCAAAAAAAACAATGTGGTTGTGTGTTTTAATTCTGGACCACTGGAATTAAATCTATTCCAGTGTATTTTCCGGTGTTTCAGGGTTCAAGGGCGGCGTCCAGAATGTCACGGCCCCACTGGCCCACCAGCCGCAAGGGAGCGCACACTTTTGAGCGGCCAAGGACAAGGCTTTATCAAGCCTGGGAGGAATTCCCTCCCACCCATTCACCCCAGCCGTCGCCGCGGGGGGCCACCCAGGCCCCCACAGAACCCGGCACCTGTGGCCTGAGATGTGCCGTATTCTCTTTGGCCTCCCCCACACTTTGTTCCCAAACGGCTGTCCAGAACCTACTCCTCCCATGTTGTCCTGGATTACTGGGACGAAGACAAAAGGAGACAAACTTTCATGTATTTTCATGTACACAAGGTTGAACGGTTCACAACTTCCTTCTCCTTACTTCCTCCTCGAATCTCCTCTCCATCTCCTCCTTCCTACCTTACCATCTCCTAACGCCTCCTCCCT